CTTATTGGGAAGAGAAAAGGTAGGGCGGTTTCAAACGATTTGAATCCTAATGAAATTGCGTTCGAAATAAGTAATCCTCGTGTGAAGCATAAAAACCCGCTTGCCATTTACCCCTAGCCGATCCGAAACCCATCCGAAATATTTCACGAACGGGGAAACATTCAGAAAACGCAACAGTAGGAACATTCCCGTTGCATGCTGCTAACCATTCATCAAAAGCCGCGCCCCTCAAAGAGATATAACCCCCGAAAAGACCCCAGGACGTTGGCAGGCCAACAACCGCGCTCCAATGACGTTTTTCCAATGAAAGCGGTCGCAGCCTTGCGATCGATAATAGCCAAGTATAGAACGATTTACTGCCGCCTGGTTATCCTTTTTTTCATTTGGCTCCGCATTTTTTTTATTTTTCATGTTTCGCTTTGTTGTGTCGTTCATGTTTTTATGATTTCCCCGTCACCATTCATTGAATGCACATCTGAGGCCTGACACGCTGACCTTGGGGCTAATTTTTTCACCAGTTTAGCTCATTAATGATCACCATTAGTCGCTGTTTCGATTGTGTTCCTTCTTACAAGTTGCATGTCATACATGGTTATCGAACGAGGAGTTTTATTTTGAATCCTAAGACAAAATTGTAGGTAATGCGAGGCTGTTGTTCAGCCTCATATTGCATGAGGCTGAAACAGCCTATTATTGCCTGGATTTTAGAGCAGAGTCCGCCTTTCGAAAATCCAGATTCCATTAAGCCATTTGTGGTGAACATGCATCTGGTTGTCAGTTAGAGCAGGAGGGGGGGGGGTCGTATCTGGACCCTCTTCGAGGGGGGGGGGGGGGTCGTACTCACACCGCCATTTCGCACATCCCCATGCTGTACCCTGCGCATGGGACATATGCAAAGTCCTCATCCCGGAGTGGGCGTGGCTGCATACGTCATTGGGACGCGGTGACTGCTGCGCTTTTTGAGGGATCTTGCCGTCTTTTGACAACTACTGTCATGTGTGTGTCTGGAGATCTCTGGGATCCTGCCCATGACTTTCCTGGACTCACTTTGCGGGAACGAGTCAGACCGCAAGGTGCAAAACCTAGGCTTCAAGATGTACGACGCTTCCAAGAAGCTCGTGAAACATGACACCACTTTCAAGCTCGCTTTTGACAAGTCGCCACATCGTGGGTCTCCCACCCTACGCTTCGAGTGCAGCTGAACCTCTACACCATGGAATTCATTGTCTCTACCACAATCTGGTTATTACGGTCAATAAAATTCTAGTCCCCACAGCTCATATCACTGACTGCAAGACCTGAAATGACTAAACACGAAGCAGAGCTTCAGTCCTTTAACTATGTACAGCTCAATCTTCATTAATCAACAACAAAACTTTACAAATGGTGGAAGCATTTAGACAAAATATGAACCTATTATAACGAACATAGAGAGATCACATACGAACAGTAGAAACATTGAGCAAGAATATCAAAACTGGAAAGGAACTCAACGAGTTAGACGACTAAGGTCAGGCAGAATAAGTGGGCAATTGTGAAACAAATTGTTCTGCATTCATCATTTCAGTAACACCGCATTGAAGAGGTAATAAAGGGAGTCCTAAGATAAATTGAAGTGTGAAAAGTCACTTATAGGATAAGGTAATCACCTTCGTCAAACATCACCACGGCATTCTTCAAAGACACATGGTACGATCACATAGTTTGGGTGTGCGTGACTATCAGCCCCCAGCTGTCGAAGCGTAGCGGTTTCCCCGTCCTAACATGCGCAGGAATGGAGATACAGGACCGTGAAACACGCTAATTCCTCCATGCTCCGCCCAATACCTTTTGCGGCGCAGACTCCCGTTCATGCTAACAGCCGTCGTGTGCGCGCGTGTCGCGTGCAGCTCTCTTGGCACTTTGCCAAGTCCTGTAATTGCGCTTTGGAATACAAGTAAAACGCAATTTCCTGATGCGGATAACATTTTAGGTGCTGCAAAATAAGAACCGAAGATGATGACGAGGGCCAGAACTCAAGAGCAACTGCT